AAAGCTTCAAAGCTCTAAAAATGGAAGGAACAGAGGAAACTTTAAAGTAAAGATGTGACAATAAATGAACAAAATTAATTTGATTAAAAATTTTTAAAAGACATTAAAGGAACAGATATTTTAAGTGGTTACCTCTTAGAGATTACACATGCAACATTAACAAGAAACAGACATTTTTTCCTTTCCTTATCATATAACATTCAATAACATTAAGTTAATAAGGGGCATCTTGCAATTTTAGTACAGGGATAAAAGCACATGGGAAAAAAATCAAAGCCGTTTCCAGAGAGACTAAATGTATATTCAGTATGTGGGAAGATGTACAATATTGATTTCATTATTATATTTTTAGTAGAATTAAAAATTTCCTTTTCTATCAGACAACAAATTTAAAAATGAGCAACGCCCACATTAAGAGACTCAATTTTTGAGGCAGAATGAAAACAGTACATTTGATGTGTATTTCTAAAAAGGAAGTTATTCAGAATCAATAGTCACACGTGAAGCTTAGGCCAAAACAATCTTATTTTCAATAGAAGACAAATTAATTCCTCCCTGCTTAATAAAAGAACATCTGCTGAGAACTTACCACATTGTAGACTTGCACAGATTTTACTACAGCTGAATTAAATGTAAATCAATTAAACCAAAATTGTGTGAAAATAGTTTGATACACTCTTGTATTTGTTTAGATTTGATTAACTAATAAACTTACAAAATAAATGACTATCTGATAGTATAGAGATAAGAAGTTGGGAAATCGGGGTATTACAATATTTAAGTGGAGAAAAATAACGCACTGCAAAAGAATGAAAAACAAGGGTAGAATAAGATAAATGAACAAACGTAGCCTATCTACAGCAGCCACGAGAGACATATGGATACAGAAAAATTATTACCTCAAGCTGAATTTTCTATACTATAACTGACTTAATTTCCTAGGTGCTCAAATTTTTTTTAATAGTAGTAGGAAGAAAAGAAACACAAGGAAAAAAAAAAAAAAAAAAAGTGAAATGTAGTAGATACAGTATTAATCATACACTTAAATAAATGCAAAGTCAACTAAGCATTCATTGCAAGTTTCAAATAGCACCAACTTACTATGAAATAAATGAAAACAATGGCAAAAATTACTTCAATTGACAGATTTAAGAAACTCAATCTCCTTACTTTATCTGGAGATCAAGAAGTGAACTATAAGGCTAAAAAAGATGGGAATTATAAGGCTAATAAAAGACTTATTCCTGATAACTGGAAAAAGGGAAACATTATTCCCATTTTTAAGAAGGGGAGAAATAAGATGACCTGGAGATCGACAGTCCAGTGAGCCTCACCTCTGTGCCTGGGAAGACCATGGAGCAGATCCTCCTGGTTACCACATTAAGGCACATATGAGATGAAGAGGTGATCCGAGATGGGCAGAATGGTTTCACCAAGGGCAGATCTTGCCTGACCAGTCTGATGGCCTTTTATGATGGAGTGACAACACTGATGGACAAGGGAAGAGCAACAGATGTCATCTACTTGGACTTCTGCAAAGCCTTTGACATGGTCCCTCACCACATCCTTCTCTCTAAATTGAAAAGGTATGGAATTAAAAGATAGACTGATGGATTAAGAACTGGTTTGCTGATGACAGCCAAAGGGTTGTGATCAATGGTTCTGTGTCAGGTTGGAGGCAGGTCACGAGCAGTGTATCTCAAGGGTCAGTCTTGGGACTGGTGCTCTTCAACATCTTCATCAATGACATAGACAATGGCATCGAGTCCACCCTCAGCAAGTTTGCAGATGACACCAAGCTGAGCTGTGCATTCAATACACTGGAGGGAAGGGAAGCCATCCAGAGGGACCTGGACAGGCTGGAGAAGTAACCTCAGGTAAACCTAATGAGGTTCAATGAGGCCAAGTGCAAAGTGTTGCACATGGGCTGGGGAAATCCCAGGTGTTTATACAAACTGGAGGAAGAACTCCTTGAGAGGTCTTAGATGAGAAGCTGGACATGAACCAGCAGTGCACTTGCAGCCCAGAATGCCAACTGTGTTCTGGGCTGCTTTGAGAAAGGGGTGGCCAGCAGGGAGAGGGAGGTGATTGTCCCCTCTACTCAGCTCTTGCGAGGCTCCATCTGGAGTGGATAGTGATAGGACAAGGGGGAATGGTTTTAAACTGAGACAAGGGGGGTTTAAGTTAAATATTCGGAAAAAGTTTTTCACATAGGGGATGGTGACACACTGGAACAGGCTGCTCAAGGAGGTTGTGGATGCCTCACCCCTGGAGGCATTCAAGGCCAGGTTGGATGTGGCTCTGGCAGCCCTGTCTAGTGGTTGGCATCTTGGGCCATGGCAGGGAGGTTGAAACTACATGATCTTTGAAGTCCTTTTCAACCCAGGCCATTCTGTGATATGATAAGACTTTTTACTCTATTGAAGAAAAACATAACATCTCCTACCAGATAGAGAAAGATCAAACAAGACTAATACTACTGAGAAGTCAGGCCTAAATTTTTAAGAGTGATAGAGTTAATCAGAAAAAAAAAGAATGGTCAAGACAGATGGTGGATTAATGGATATTTGTTGGTGTTCTCTATCAAGACTGGATTCATTTCCTGTTGATAAGATTTAACAAAACACAAGTTATTTTTTCCAGTACTACTTAGTAGGAAATAATGTTCAGTATCACTTAAGCAACAGGAAATAATAGTTTTAATCTACTTTCACATTTTACTAATTTCTGCCACTAATTTTCTTTCCTAAATTTACTTTAAGTGACAATTTGCATAGAAAAATCTGATTAATGTACTCAATATGTATCTATTGAGGAAATACTGTGAATTATTCTAATGTACTTCCATCACAATTTTAACGTTTTTAACAATGTAGATGAAGGACAGATATCGACTTACATGAATTACAAAAATTCACTGAAAATGATTACTTTACCTAGCATTTTATTTTACATCATTTGTTCATGGTTTTCCAATAGTACAGCATTATTTCAGCAGTCTCTGTTATATTCATTATTTGACTTCATAATTATCTGTTTGTTAAATCCTGCATTGTTTAAAGTAGGCAAACACTACAAACAGATGACTTTTGGCACATAATGATCAAATGACATCATACCTTCTTGGATCTTTCTGACAGCCTGCCAAAAATAACATGCTTAATTTGAAATACTCTAGAAGTGAGATCTGTTTTTTGCTGTAAAAGTGGAACAGATTCATTAATCAGCTTTTACTATGGAAGCTTTCTTATTTTATTCTCTTCCTAGGAATTCTGAAATAACTAGGTAAGTCGGAGTACTTTAAATTAACATAGAAAGAAGTATAATAAGTATATGATAAAAATGTAAGCTAGAAATATTGTTGTTACAGAACAAACTCATGAGCTTGGTGTCATTTTAAATCCAATTGGTAAATCCAATGTAACTTTCTATGAAAATTATAACTTGTTAGGGAGGGACGTGATCCACCTGTCTAGAAGAAGCAGGGCAATTTAAGGCAGCAGGCTGGCCAACCTAGTGAGGCAGGCTTTAAACTGAAAGAGTTGGCGGGCAGGATACAAAATAGCAATGTTTACACCATTGCAAATGGCTGGGGGGTAACCCAGGAAAATCAGAACAATGACAAATGCTACTTCCCACAACATAAGCCACAATGCCAACCACCTCCAGAGCATGTATAACTATGGAGGATCTGGTATCTCTCCCTTTTCTTATCTGAAGTACCTGAATATCAATGTATGCAGTATGGGAATAAGCTGGATGAACTACACTTCTGTGTGCAGCCACAGGGCCATGATCTCACTGTAATTACGGAGATGCAGTTGGACAGCTCACATAACTGGAATGCTGTCATGGATGGATATGTACTCAGGAAAGACAGGCAGCAGAGCAAGGTGGTGGAGTTTCTGTTTACATGAGAGAGCAACTAGAATGCATCAAGCTCTACCTAGAAATTAATAAGGAATGAGTTGAGAGCTTATGGGTGAGAACTGACAGGCAGGCTTTTATAGGTAACATCACTGTGGGTATTTAATACAGGCTGCCTGATCAGGAGGAGGCTGATGAGGTCTTTCACAGACAGCTGAAAGTAGCTTCACAGTCACAATCACTGGCTTTCATGGAACCCGATTCTTATCTTTTTAAAGAAGAAAGACCTATAGGTTAAATGCATTTATCTGCTTTACATGTATATACTACATAGTAACCAGAACATACAATTGCAGCAGTACATTTGTCATTTCTAACACACGATGCAGGCCCTAGAATTCTGGAAAAAAAGAAAAGTTCTAAACTCAAGTTCTTTGATGGTATGGAGGGTAAAATTGAATTTAAAAGCACAGATAAATTAAATAGCTTAATGGCTTTCTGATTTATAGAGCTCATCTGTTTTCAGTATAACTACACTGTCGTTGATCTTGAATGATGATTTATGAAGTACAAAATTCAATAAAGATTCCATTCTAAAAAAATTGCATTTTAACCACTGTCTAGGTGAACATAAACAGCAACAGACAGCAACAATGACATTTACTTCTCTTCCTTTAAAGTTGTGTATGCAACATTATGTAGGAACCTGAAATACAATTTGTGCTGTGCCAGGGAGGAGCTAAATTTCCAAATAATGAATGCAACTTCTGGATAAGAGTTTCATTTTGAGTAATTAGGGAAGACAGCATTTAGATGGAGACATGCCTTGTATAGAATGTACTTGAAAGTCAATTGTAAGTTGCATTCCAAGCACATTTTTAAAGCAAAGACCAAACTGAATGCAAACCAATTCATTATGGAAAATGAGATCAAGCAAGTAGTTAAAGTAAACTGCAGTGTGACACACAGGTGCCTGATCACAAAACAGTAACAGTTACTCAGCGTTAAGAGCAGTCATAACATGAGTCAGCTCTTTACTACCCCTAATACTTAAAGATAAATTTCTACCATCACTGTTTTAGCAATGTTTAAAGGTAAAGGAATTTTTCTGCTGTAGATTTTGTATTTCCTACCTTGAAACTGAGCGTTAAATCCCTTTCGTCGGTGGTTGCTGTCAGATGTAAAATGGAGTCGTAACCAGTTCTTACTGCTAATAACAGGAGAAGGTAGATTCATACCAGTCAACCTGGAAAAATAAAAAAGACTCTAACATCAAGGGTACTAAAATCACATGTACTTTAGAGACAGCAAAGAAAACAAGAAAAAAATCCAAAATATACTGCTGTTCTATTTACTTTTCTTAATTCGAAAGAGCAAAAAAGAATTAAAATAAATGAAATCTGTGGGTTTTGGAGTTTATTTTGTCAACTCACAATTATCCTTCTCTTTTACCTATTTTCTCCATTTTATGTTCAGCCCAATAGTAACGTATACTTGGAAATTTGTTGTTTGTGCCAAAATACAACAAAACAATAAATAAAATAATGAATTGAATTAAGTGCAAACAAAATAAAATGAGATTTGAAAATAAGTTCTATAAGAGCTATATTACATTTAAAAGAAAATACAGGAAAGCCTTCCAGAAATGCTTAATCTTCATTACTTTGAAATAATGCAATTATTTCTATATTCATCTAGCCACAATCATGTTTTTATTTTTAATTAGTATTTTCTTGTTTGGGATATATTATAGAACATCTTCTGAGCTTCTATATAAAGTTTCTGAATCAAGAGGCGAAGAGAAAAAAACAGAGGATTCTATTCTTCAATTTGGAACTACCTTCCATTTTGAAATCCTTTCTGCTAAAATATTTAAAAGAGCAGCCATGCTGGTAATTGTCAAAATGAGAACTTTCAACGATCCTCCCTTGCTTCTGTAGTTCTAGAGAAGTTTCACGCACAGGTGAAGTGATCTAACAGGCTAGTGTATTAAAAAAACATGTTACACTCTCGCTCTTTCTGCATGTACTCCATCCTTTGCTTTAGTATTGGCCTTCCTCACTGGTATCAACTTTGATTCTTGCTGAACATTTTTGTTATCTCTTTAAAGTAGCAGATTCTTATCTCCTAGATAAGAACTAAGCAGTTTCACAGAAAATGTTTAAATTGTGTCTTCTTCATATGGAACATGAACTAACAGAATATTTGTAATAGGTAACATCTACTAGGGTTCAGAATTGGAGAGAGTGAGCAGGTGAGAACAAGATGTTTCTCATTCTGGCATTTAAAATAATTAGGTCATGGATTAATTTTCTCTTTTTATTTTCCACCTGTTTTTATAGCAATATATACATAGTTGTTTATTTTGGTTGCTGTGAATGAATTCTTTCTATTTTACCTTAGCATTATTTGGTAGTAAGATTGAAATCAAATGAGTACATAAATTTTTGGGTAAAATATTTTTATTTGTTATGAGCATGTTAGGAAGTCATAACGTTCCCCAAGCTATTCTTCTGAGAATTTTTCAGGATAACAGGATATGCTCCTGGGAAGATGAATGAGACTGGCAGCTGCTTTTAGACAAATGAAGAAAACCACTGATTGAGTAATTCATGTGGTTCTTGCTGAACCAGAAAATTCTGATAAATACCAAGAACCAGAAGAGTTTGCCACAGAATTTTGTATCAATATATTTTGTCAACTTTGGCCTGAGAATATGTACTTGAATAAAATCAAGCAATCGTGAGTATAAAAAAGACAGAAGAAAGTAAACCAAACATTGACAAGTCATGAGATAAGCCCAAAACTGAAGTCTTAACCAGAGTTTGACAGTTTAAAAGATTCAGTCTTTCCATTTAGTACATTAGGCAGCTACATTAATAATTGTTCAGTTTTTCTACACAATATTTCCTACATCTTGAGAGGAAACATTACCAGTTAACAGCATGCCATGATAGTTCCTCTTCACGATAAAATACTCATACATTCAGTAAAAGTGTTCCCCAGTCATACCATACAACGTTATCATGACAACATTACATTCATTACACTCATTAATAACATCACTGCATTATATACAAACAGTTCCCATAAAATGTTTTGGATATGTTTCATATGGAATAATTAATAAGAGAGAAGACGACAATTATGTGATAATCTCATCAAATTTTCAAAATGCATTATTATAGAACATTTTGAAAGACTTGCAAAATGTTACTTCTTCCCTTAATTCCCTTCTCATGGCATTTACTAATTACTGCATATAAACATATTAAAGTTTTAATTTAGTTTTAAACTATTTAAAACTAAATTGTTCTATTTAATATAAAAATATTTTAAATTATGGGTTTTTGTTTTCCATTAAAGAAATGAAGTTTTAAGTGACACAGCCATATTGAGATTCCTTACATTAAAAACTGTACTCAGACACTCTGTACTCATTACTGGGGACATTCAGGTTGGACACCAGGAAAATTTCTTCTCTGAAATAGTGGCCAGCTACTGGAATGGGCTGCCCAGGGAGGTGGTGGAGTCATCACTCCTGGAAATGTTCAAGAAACTATTAGATGTTGTACTTAAGGATACAGTTTAGTGGAGAAATACTGGTGGTTTGGACGGTTGGACTGGACGATCTTGGAAGTCTTTTCCAACCTTGGCAATTCTATGATTCAATGAAACTTATGTGGAAATTTGGTATGATATCCCCCATAATTAATTCAGATAGAAGTCTCCCAAGATAAACTTTAAGTTTCTTGCCTGAGCAAAATTTTATATTCATGCTCAGAATCACTTATGCCTGATGAAACAAGGAGAAAAAGATGGATTTAACCTTATCTAATGTCAGCTGTTGGCAGTGCTGCAGTCTGTACCTGGTCTAAGATCCTGCATAGTCAAGAGAGTGGAATAAATATTTTGGGAGCGCACATTACATGAAGAATTTTTAACTTTCACATTAATTTGAGACTAATCTCACCTTAAAAATAAGAGTTAGAATGACTGGATAGGTAAATAGCAACACCTGAACCTCACGTGAAGCATATAAATTCTGTTATAACCCAGCTCACATGACACGCCAAAACAGAATTTTATTCTTTGAAGATAGCCTTCTCAGTTTCTAATTACTCTAGCACTATCCAGCCTGGCCTTGAAAATCTCATTGGGAAATCTGCTCCAGTGTTTCACCACCCTCACAGTAAAGAATTTCTTCCTAGTGCCTATCTTAAATTACATTTTAAAACCATCTCCCCTCATTCCGTTGCTACCTACAAAATAAGTCTTTTTGTACTTCACTATACCTCACAGTGGGTATTATGCCTGAACATATTTCATGTTTGGCTGCAGGTTAAAGCCAAAGGCATTTCTTTTTAAAATTTTTATCTATTGTTTGGAAAAACAGCTTTATTAAGAATACTTTGGTTTATTAATTCAATAGTATTAGCATATATTTTTCTTCGTTATTGATCTGATATTTGACAAACATAACTGGGACAATGTTCCATGGTACTTTGTATAGCATATATTTCCTCTGAAATATTATAACTGCTTTCAAGCTCATGAGTAAAAGAATCATTCCTTGTATATCTAGGTTTTTGCTAATATATGGCTTTCACTGTCCAGCAAGAGAGGAATATTAAGTTCTAGGACACAGCAATCAGTTAGATTTTATTGTTCAAAGCTGTGATATTCATCCCAGAAATTTGTATTTCATCAATAACTTTTAATACTGCAGGCCATTCTCCTATAGCTTTGCAAAGAATTCTTACATCCAGATCCAAAGAAGATTTATTCAGTCCTAAAGTTAATATGGCAGTTGCCCTGAAGGTAAATTAACATTTTAAAAAAGCTCACAATTGAACAAAGAAAACTAAATAGTTGGCTTTTTTTGTTGTAACTAATATGCAGTAATTGAGCACTTGGGAGATAAATATTTTGCTATAATAATTCTTCCCTAGTTTAGTGTAATTATTAATAGCTGAAATGATAAAATGTTGATCTTATAGCACACAATATTCTGTTTAGGGATGCTGAGGCTACTGTTTTTCTACTGCCAGAGCCCATATGGGTACTTTTTGTTAACATTCTGAAAACTGCAGAATTTTTAGTTCTATTCATACATGATTCCTGAACAAATTCCCCAGCGAATAAATAAGAGATAAATTTGTATTTCATCAATAACTTTTAATATCTACTCATCTGATGTCACCCAATTATTTGTGCAGGTTTTTTTTTGTTTTTTAAACCTTCAGTTACCATTTCCTAATACAGGAGTAAATTCTAACAACGTAAATTGAAAAAGCAGACATCTAAAACAATGTTCAGTAATCACTAATCTTATTATGAAATATTTATTATCTGCCATAGTCACTGACATTTTTCATGCAGACGTTACTTTCTCAGAGTTGTTCCTTTTTAGCCACAATAGCTAAGGAAAATACAAAAAAAAAAAAAAAAAAAAAAAAAAAAAAAAAAAAAAGTTTAAATTATATAATATATTATCTATTGCAAGTAGAATGAGCATTTTTTAAGTACATTAGGGATCCACACATGTGCTGAAAACATCTGTTCTATAATACTTTAAAAGACAAACTTATGACAAATAAGATCATATTCTCAGCATAGATTGTGGCAATGAAAACCGGTGTCGGCAGGTACATTAAGTTTGTGGTAATGAAGTCCTTTCGTTTGTAGTTGCCTCTGTGAGGTTTTCAAAACAAGTTAGAATGAACATAAAAATATAATGAACTGAAAGATGTTTTTCAGTTCAGTGTAACCAATTTCACTAATAACATTTTTCCATTATGTATTTTATATTGGATGAGTTGTTTCTTTTTCTTAAATGAAAGATTTTAGGTGTCCCATTTGGATTTGTTACAAATAATTAAAGGGGAAAAAAACAAAACAAAAAAACAAACAAACAAACAAACAAAAAAAACTGATTAAAATGTCACTGAAAGGAATATTTCATAAAATGAGGTTTTTCTTGGATTTTCAATTGCAGAACTCACGTTGGCTCTTTTGACTGAAAAAATTCCCACATCTCTCCGAATTTAAAAAACTCAATTCATATAAGGGGGGCATTTAGTCCCCTAAAGGACAAATTTTAGAATATGCTTCTATATTGTGCCTTACTGTTGCAATTTAGTTTAGGATCTATCTATCAGAAATACAATCTGTTTGATATTAAAACATGAAATAAAACACCTTGTTTCTCTATCTTCCTTTATAATCCTTTATTATTGCTCTCTC